ATTTCAGAGGAAAGANATGAAACGGACGATCATATCTCAGAGGAAAGAGGGAAGGGGGGTGAAGGGTGGGAAGAGAATAACCAAAGAAGTTATATGCATATATGCATAACCCATGGACATAGTCAATAATGGAGTAAAGGCCTGGGGAGGGGGTGGGAGCTAAGTAGAGGGGGTCAGTTGGGGGGAAAAATGGGACACCTGTAATACTCTCAACAATAAAGATAAATTTTTTAAAAAAACTCAACATTAAAAACGATTCAATTTAAAAATGAACAAAATACATGAAGTCACATTTTTCACTGAGAAGATGTACAGATGGCAGATGAGCACACAGAATAGGTGTTCAACACCATTAGCCAGTACAGAGTGTCACTACACACCTATCAGAACATCTGTAATTAACAACACCGAGTGCTGGGGAGGGTGCAGAAGGACCAGGTCACTCATACGTTACTGGTGGAGATGTACAGCCATTCTAGAAAACAGTTGGGCAGTTTCTTTAAAAACTCAACCTGCGAGTACCATATGATTCAGCCATTGCATTCCTGGCTGTTTATCCCTGAGAAATGAAAACTTATGTGCACACAAAAACCTGTACTCAAATGTTTTTAGCAGCTTTTGTGATAATAGTCCAAACTGGAATCAGCCCACATGTCCTTCAACAGGTGACTGGTGAAACAAGCTGTGGCCCTCAGCAATGGAGAGGAGTCAACTACTGACACTCACAACTACCTGGGTGACTCTCCAGGGAATTGTGCTGAGTGCAAAAAAGCCAGTCCCCCAAAGTTACATACTCTATGATTCCATTTATGTAACATTCTTGAAATGGCAAAATTATGGAAATGGGCAACAGTTAACAGTTGCCAAAGACTAGAGAAGGAGGGGAGCCCAGAGGGAAGTGCATGTGGGTGTGGGTGTGGGTGTGGGTGTAAAAGGGCCACAGGAGGGATCCTCATGGTGGTGGAAATGTTCTGCATCATGACTGTATCAGCGTGAGCATCCTGGATGTGACCCTGACTTAGGGGAAATATACTTGGCCATGGGCTTTAGTCACTATCTCCCACTTCTCCCTGGACTTTTGGGTCTTAATTCTAAGACAATGGGGGTAGAGAGGGAAGGAACAGAATGAACAGACACAGAAGTTCCAGATTTAAAGGCATGGCCATTCCTGCCCCTGAATTCCTCGCTGGTGCCATCCAGGAGGTTCTCTTTTCTAGTTTCTGCGCTGCCATTCTCCTGCCTTGAAGGCCCTACAATTGTAGAGGGGTAAAATACTGGGGGGCCATCATCTTCTTTCCCACCTGTGTGTGGACGCTGTCCTTGGTGCTGAACGTACTCGCGCACAGGGCACACACACCACCACC